TTTTAGCGGCTTTTCTGACTTGTACTGCCACATTTTTGAGAAGATGGTCAGAATCCAGAAGACACACAGGGGGTGTTCACCTTGGCTTCAGCCTACCTTAGATACTTCAAAACAACATGCTTGCTCTGGCCCTCCACACAGCCAAATGTCGCCAAACAGCCACGGTCTGTTCAGAAACAGCTGTGATGTTCTGCACAGCTGCCTGTTCACATTGTAGGACCTTCCAGCATTCAACAGGGGTCTAGGGAGTGACCCGCCAGCGTTACCTGCTAAAGACGGTCAGTGACACCTTAGGGCTCTTCTAATTTCCCAATGTTGTGCATGCTGGGCTCCTCATTCCTCTGGCACTTGACCCGGAAATCTATCTCAGCAATCCATCTTGGATGAACCTCAATTTGTAAAATGCATCTCAAGGAGAGGGGACTGAGGAGCTATGAGCGATACACCAGTGAATAATCTAAAACCATGGTCTCTAAAAATGTAAATCAACTGCATTTATAAAGTGCTTTTCCAGTCAGCATTAACACTCACTTATACTGAGGAAGAGGCTAAGATACAAGGTGCCACCTTCTCAGGGAGACTAACAATAACACACTGTTGGTGGAGCCAATCAGGAGCAAAGTCCCACGGACACTTTGACATGTTGCCTAGAGAAGCTGGGGATCAAACCACATTATTTAAGATGACCAAATGCAGGTTCAAACTTTCTGAGCTTCAACATTTGTTTAGCGCCTCACAAGGCACTGTTATCGTTAAATGAAGGCCAAGGGTTACATCCAAGTCAAATTTTACAATCGAGACATGATTTTAAAAGTGCAAATAGCTGAGACAAAGAGGGAAGGGAAAGAGAGGGAGGGGGAACTGAAAGCTTTAAAAAAAACTGGTTCTCCTGTCATGCTTCCCTCAGCTGACTTTACTTCTGCACCTTCAACACTACCCTTGATCACATTCATCTATCTACTCACCATATTGATAGTTTCAAATAACCTTAGTCTAATATGTGTATTATTGTATTGTAAGTACATCCCTTACATGGACTCCCTCCTTGTCATGTAACCTGAGCCAGTTTTTGACAGAGACCAAATTATTATATGAAAGCTGTNTACAAAATGAATAAATATATACATATCAAACAGAGTCCCATACATTTGGAATGCTTCATGGCACTAATCTATTTGTGCAACCTCTTTTGTGTAGTTTAGGCTTTCCTAAACTACACAAAAGAGGTTGCACAAATAGATTAGTGCCATGAAGCATTCCAAATGTATGGGACTCTGTTTGATATGTATATATTTATTCATTTTGTATTCATTCTCCAATAGGTCTTCAATGCATCAGAGGAGCTGAAGAGTGCAGCACATTATCCTAATGTGAGGACTTTTATGGCAACCCTGGTCCAGAGCACAACTGAGCAAACTGATTTGATTGACGTCCAAATTCCCTGGTCTGTGCCGCCATTATGTGGGTTTAAGATATTTATTTTATTCATAAAATGGTTTAAATCTGTGTTTGCAGATTAAAGGTTTAGGTGGGTTACTTAACTGCAACTGAACCTGTCTTAAGTGCTTTGAAATAGAAACATGCATACTCAGTCACATGTTCATGAGTCCAAGCTAGTGTTTGTTTAGTTGCATCACAGCGATGTAATCAACCATGTTGGTATTTGTTTATGTGCGTTTTTATCACCTTTTTGCATTCTGCTGATTGACTACTTAACAGGCAGGATTTGTTCCAGATCTGTCCGGTTTCTCTGCAGTGTGCTGGCTCTTTGGTCGTGATTTGTATGATAAGCTGCAGTACCCCATAGGACTGGTGGAGTCCTGTTGGGGGGGCACACCTATCGAACCCTGGTGCTCTCCAAGAGCACTACAGAAGTGTGGACTACTACAGCAGCCTGGTGGCGGGTACGTTTCAGGGATTCAATAAAGATATAGATACAGTATTATATCATCATATTATGTTTTGTCATACCGATCGATTTCCAAACACACATTAAGTAGTGCTTTAATGTTGTATATTAACTAACTACAAGGTTGACTCTTTATTGCACCTTACATTCTTTCAGTCCCAAAGTCAATTCAGTGTTGTGGAATGCAATGATCCACCCACTGCTGAGCATGACCATCAAAGGAGCCATCTGGTACCAAGGTTAGACCAGCTGCTGCAAAGGTTTCTGATGTTCATGTATGTCCTGCATGTACTGTATACGCCTTGTGTTGGTTGCTCTTAGGTGAGGCTAACACAAATTATCATCAAGAGAAGTACAACTGTTCCTTCCCTGCTATGATTGATGACTGGAGGATGGCGTTTCATCAGGGCTCAGGAGGGCAGACGGCTCTCGATTTCCCTTTTGGATTTGTCCAGGTATGTAACATTAATGATTTTAGTTTTAATAGCAAAATCACACTACAGCAAATTGTCCCTTTTCGATGCTTTTTCCCCCCCCAAATATTTATTAGTCATTTTTCTAAATCAACAGGAACCACTGAAAAATGTACATAAATCCATAGCCCTTCACTTATTTAAAAATAAAAGTAGTCACTTTTAAAGTTTGTTAGCCTTTTACTTTATTGCCTTTTCCAAAACGGAGAATGACAGATTTGAGTTTCAACTAAATGATGACTTGGTCACAGAAAACTAATGTGAAATGCTAAGTAAGTATTCAAAGCATTAGCTGTTTTGTTGCTTCTTTTGGCTTCTATTTTGAAAATCAAGCCTCATTGTCAGCTCTCTGTCAGGATTTATTTTTATAATTTTTGTATTTTGTACATCCAAACTATAATTTTTTTGTACTTGCAGCTGTTTACCTTAAAACAAAACTAAACTAGTGACGCCTATCCGATGTATGTATGCTTGTGTGTGTGTGTGTGTCCGGCACCGGCATTTGTTTTCAATGGATATTATGATACTGTGACATTTGAGTAGCATGAAGTAACCACAGACACTTGTCACGTCCATGGACTCGCAGGAGTACTTTACTGCTGAATGAATACTGAGGGAAACATTGTTTCTTTGCCTTTTTGTTTTTGTTAAATAAAATAAAAAACCTGGCGTTTTATAGTTTCAGGGGGAACACTAATCCATGATTTATTTGCACTTCCAGCTGAGTACCTGGGAAAAAAAATCCCAAAGTGACGCCTATCCGAATATCCGCTGGCACCAGACAGCAGATACCGGCTTTGTCCCAAATCTCCAGATGCAGAAAACTTTCATGGCTGTGGCTATGGATTTGCCAGATGAAAAATCTCCCTATGGCACGTAAGGATTGTATTAACATGAACTCATAGCATATGACCCTGTACAACACCAAGGACAATTACCTTGCTTTTTACAAGCATTTGGTGATACCTTAGGGTGATTGGCATATAATGTTTATAGGTGATTAGCTAATGGAAACACATAAACAACAACTCTTTCAGTAGATTTGGTCAATTCTTACATGTCACAATTCAATGTAACCCAACTCTTGTTTTGAGAGAAGTGGTATTTTTAATCTACCATATCAGATCAGACTTAAATGCTAAAATAAAAAAATGCTGATGTTGCAATTGTTTGAACTGGAGAATGGAGCACAAATCATTCATTTCCATATGTTTCTGATCTGCCTTCCAGCGAGTCATTAGGACAATTTTAAGATACCTGGAAACGAATCCAAAAAACGATTTGCTGCCACAAAGTGAATCCGAGGCATAATTTTCACAACAACGGACTTTCTTAAGTACTGAAGTAGTACTGTGTTTGTAGTAAATTACAAACACAGAAACAGCTATCTGCTGTTTTTATGTCTTGACCTGAATCTAGTGTGATTTTGTTGTTTCAGGATCCATCCCCGAGACAAGCAGGACGTAGCCTTCAGACTGTCATTGGGAGCAAGGGCAGTGGCGTATGGTGAGAAGGACGTGGCCTTTAGTGGACCTTTCCCCAGCCAAATCCTGTCCACTCCAAAGTATCTCAACATTACCTACGACCAGAAAGTCTCTGTCACTCCTTCTGAAAACATCTTTGAGGTAAGGCTGGCAGCGGCACATTCAGTATGACATCTTTCCCATATTTACCTGCTGGCTTTATTAAATATGCTAACAAAAAGAATAGCTAGGGCTGCTCAATGAATCGTATTTTAATCGCAATTACGATGTTGGCTTGCAGCGATTATGAAAACAACATAATCGAAATAAAACGATTATTATTATTTTTATTTATTTTTTTTTTCAGTTGAAATATAATTACAGTTCAGAGTAATCAACTGTTAAAAACATACTGTTCCTTTTTTTCTCCAATAAATGGATAATCGTTTTTAATAATCGTGATATCAATTATTGACCAAAATAATCGAAATTAGGATTTTTGCCATAATCGAGCAGCCCTAGCTTTACCATAAGACAGGGTTTATGTTTGCACCAATAATTTCTTGCTAAATAAATACAATTCTCTCCTATTAAGATCTGCTGCTCAGAGAGTGAGTCTCCATGGGATCCTAAGGCTCATTGGGTTCCAGCTCCCATCATGCAGTCGGGTCTGACCACTGTCCAGTTATCTACCAGCGTGTGTTCTCCCACTGAACAAGTAGCTGCTCTGCGGTATGCATGGAGAGACTGGCCCTGTGACTTTAAAGCCTGTCCAATCTACAGCGCCAGTAAGATTTTACCTGCTCCTCCTTTTATTGCCAACCGCACTCCAGCCAAAGTAATCAATGAAGACCAAATGAGGAACAGTCTGCCTTTGTTCAAATCAACATAAGCTGATCTCTCAATGAAGTGGAATTAGGCAAATGAATGACTTTAAACAGGATGATTGAGACTGTGAAAGTAAGGAGCTGAAAACAATCTGACACGATAGTGGATTGTTACTGAGAAAAGCTCAATATTCCTATTTTTTTTTTTACAGATATCAAGGATCATTTTAGAGGGAAGGAGGTTTTTTTTTTAAATGGTTTATGACTAGACAATTACTTTTTGTATTCAATAAGTGAATTGGTTAGTCTTAGAGGGGGGAGTGACCAATCCTACAAATTACGAATTGAAAAATACTGTGTTCAATTTATGGCATCTGGATGCAAAGCTCATCCTCATTTATTGAACAAATGTGGTCAGTTTTTCTGAAAGAGTCCAAACAATCAAAAGGAGAATAATGAAACAAGATTATTGCTGCTATTTCACGTCTTGGTTGGAAAGCTCGGCAGTTGCACCTGTCAGCCTGGTGGGAAATATGTTTGCTTTTAATTTAAAGATGTTTTTTAATCAGTCCGTCTCAAATTTCAATACTGAATGTTAAGTACAAAAATAAATTGCTGGATGTAGGTAGAAACACATGACAAAGGTTTTATTTGAACAAAACTCTGAAGTGTACAACACAAATCAGTCGTTATGACGAAATGTTTGAACAAATACATGTGAAATAAACAACTGTGTGTGTGTGTTGCATTCAAAGCCATTGTTTTTATATTACAGTAAAACAGAGACAGTAGAAAAATAATCTACTAACTGGAAAACAAAATTGTAATTGCAAATTAATTTCGGGTACCAACAGTTATATATTTATGCAACAGTGTGCCATTTACCAAACCTTGTATACTTTTTTTATTCAGCAGATGTCCCAATAAGTAAAAAAAAAAAGTGTGTTTATTTTGAATGTAACTTTACAAACAAAAATGAAATTGCCATAACAGCTATGGTGGGTTAATTATTATTATTAGCACTTTAAGCACACAACTTGTCTTAAATGTTCATTCTGGAAATTATTGAAAAAATGACATGACACAGAAATAAGCATCAACTATGCTAGCACACATCCCCAGTAAAGTTCCCAGCTGTCTGGAACGAGCTCGAAGATGAAAAACAATAAATAACAAAGGCTTGAGTTCCTGAATGCCTCGGTTTCCTACATGTTTGAACCATAAAGGAAAAGGGAGGAAAAAACAATATTAGCTTTGTAAATAACAACTACTTTTTCCAAGGATTGCGTCCATGTGTGACCGACCTTGCCCTCCAGGATCAGGAGCTGAAATAGGAGGTAGAGGGCTTCATGTTGATGGTGGGGGAGGTCAGGTGGTGCTGGTGAGAGGAGCTAGGGGACTGCGGTGCCTGTCCTGAGGAAAGACAAAAGGATCAAAAGTACAAGCATCACAATCAATGCAGAGAGATCATCAATAAGCATTAAACAAATACAAAGGTATTAGAAAAGTACTTTGAAATATTCGTCATTTGGCCATACTTCTAAAACCTTGCTGTAACTTCTGTAAAGGTATACTTTTTTTGTATTATGCTATTTACATCAGAGGCCTGGAAGGGCACTAGGTGGGGAAAGGAGGGTTACTCACACACAAAGTATAACCATAGCATTTATTGCTCATACATTTTGACAGCAGCTGTCAATAAATAAAACTTGTATTTGTTTTCCCACCAAGGGATTCTTACGTGTGACTTCCTAGCCACTGACCCAGCTGTTAAGCCTAGTTCATATGCAGGATGTACTGATTGTACAGCACACGCAATAATCAAGAGCCTTATGAATGTAACACAGAAATAACAAAGTATGAGGTCATCTTAACTACAGTCAAGCTAAAAACATTGCCACTTTAGAAAACTGATATTTAGGAAACCTGTTATGTGCTCCGTCTTGATGCTCTCTTCAAAGCCCTGGTGTCTCTGGTAAGCCTCGAAGTTGACGGAGGCATCGTCCTCCGAGAGCCTGTGAGGAACCTGGCCATCACCGGGGCGGCACACCTCAAAACGTATCCATCGGTAGCTAAATAAAGAAGAGAAAAAAAACATATTTTTGGTGACATTTGGACTTTTAGTAGGTATTTTTGTACATACTTGTGTAAAATATATGAATGTATGTATTAACCAAGGCTGCCTGTTTCCCTGACCCGAAAATGTTACTTACCACTTGTTAATGTATCCTTAGGAAAGTTTTTAAATATGTAATATCAAGGTTTACATGTCACCTAGAAAAATCATCAATATAGGATGTGAAATATATTTCATATATGTCTTTGTTTGTGAACAGTTCTTTAAACTTACTTCTTCTACACTTACTACACCAGGTCTTTGTTATAGTGATGAAAAACTAAGGTCAATAAGCCTACTGCTTTACAGCTGAAGCCTACAATGTTGTTATTCATATTCTTAAATGATGTTCTGCATGGTGTGTTTCATATTTACTTGCTACATTTGCGTGCTCCAGGACAACTCTGGATGAGATTCTGGATGGTTGGGTGTGAGAAGCCGAAGAAATCAGCTCCTGAGGGCATGATGGGCACCACAGACTTGGAACTAAGAAAAGGACACGTTGACAGATTATGATTTCATTACAAAAGTTATGCCAATAAATCCAAGTCTTTGTGGTAAATGTTGGTACCTGACCGACGCGATGACCTTCAGTAAATTGGAGTGGCATGTGAGGGCCGAGGTGGCCACGATGGCATTCTGAGGATCTTCTTCAGGCACAATCTCAAACTATGGGGGACAATATCAGATTGCATGTGTCAGTAAACAAATGTATTCATACCATTTCAAACTGAATGAAACTCAACAAGGTAGTAAGTGGCAACTTTCTTGTGGAGACTTGGATCTAAATAATTCAATTCTTAAAGTGGACCTATCATGCTATATTTGAATAATATAGTGTAGGACCATACCTATATAAGGCATATTTATACTTTTTATTTTTCAAAATACCAAACAGATCATGCATTTTAGCCATTCCTCATTTCGCTCAATTTAACACTGTCTTTGCATGGGCTGATTCTGTGAGAACAGCACCATCTACAGGCCTGGCATATGTACTACAGCGTCTCCAGCGCTTTCGAACGGCAATGTCCGTGGCTGTCTCCTCCTGATTGGTGGAGTTGGCCCAATAGCCGTAGCGCCACTTCTGTGACGTCACAGAAGTGTTCAAATCTGGATCAGTCTGTATCAGATCTGTTGCAGCCCCTTTTTAAGAGATTTGGGTATGGAGGAAAATAGAGAGGGTTGTGTTTTCTGACACTTGGTGAGTTCCCTGGAACACCGGGGACACATATTATTATTATAAAAGACGTACAAAAGTGCATTTTGCATGATAGGTCCCCTTTAAATAATGACTATTCCTTTTCCTTTATGCTTTTTGGTGTTTTCCCTTTCTTGTTTGCACTTGGCAAACCTGACTTCAATAAAAAGAGTGTACCTGTGGACCTGCTCCACTATCCTTGATTTGGCAGGTGTAGAGGCACTGCTGGTCGGGGTTTTTCATGCTGGCAAAGACTCGAGTGCTGCAGAAGCCCACCGGGTAAATGGCACACTCATCATGGAAAAGCATTCTGTCTGTGATGATCTGGAAATCAGTCAAATGTTTGTATTTGGTGAGTAGTGTCAAATTAAAGAGGCTGTTGAGAGGGTTACTTGAAAATGTAACACTTATAATACTTAATTTAAAACAAAAAAAAGTAGGTATTTAAAAAGAAAATGGTAGGATAAAGATAAATCTTGCATGTGAGTGAAGCCACAAACGGACCTCTCCCAGGCTGTAGACGGTTAATCCTCCCAATACGATGGGAAAGACAGGACGCCCAGATGAGTCCAGATGGATGGGCTGCACCAGCTTGCGAGACCCGTCTGCTAGCTTTCTCTTCTTAGTCGTCTTCTTTGGAACTGAAGAAAAACAATAGATCATATGACATAATGGGCTAACTGTCTGAAAGAGAAATGTGGACCATTTCAATGACATCTATTCTCAATATGCATGGCACTCACATTCCTCTTTTCCATTTTCCTTGCCTCGCTCTTTCCTTTCCTTCTTGGGTTTTTTAAGAGATCCCTCTTCCCCTGTTGACACCACTGAGGTCAGGCTATGCCCCCCAGACAGGCCTGAAGCCCCTGAGGTTGAAGCTGCAGGAGGAACAGGTGGATGAGTGCTAGAGCTAGGTGTTGGTAGCATATCTCCTTCTGTCAAAGACTGGTACTGCAGCAATGACTTCAGTAAGAACCTTGAAGTGAAAATGCATACGTTTTTTGTTAAAAGAGATGAAAAGATGACACTTAACTTCAAGTCCTACTTCTAACAATCACAACAGCACATTCATCATGTTCAATATTAGAAGAAAAAACATTCCTCGCTGAAGCAGGGTATATGCAGGAACCCTGAAGTCCCTTTTAAGACCTTTTTTAAGACCCTTTCCATACATTTTAAGACCTCATCGCCACTTTGAGTTTTAACCGGTTACCTTGGCGACACACTTTACCTCACATTGACTATATACAGTATTGATTGTCCTTCCTCCTTATCTTCCAACCATTTGGACGCAAACTTGCATTTCCCCATAACGATGTTGCTTAGCAACCGGCGTAAACGGAGCTTCGCGTGCTATCAAGCAGTGAGCGTGCGATGTCCTGTTCAGATGACGTCAAATCCAACGGGATGCCATAAATAAACTACACAGAATCACACTACACACCTACGCAATGATTACATTCAGGCAGACTGTAGAATACAACCTCTTTGGACAATTGATATACTTATTGAAAACGAGCTGCAAAAAGTAATACCTTGGAAAATGCTGTTTAAAACTTTTTAATAGCCTTCATTTTCACTAAATAGATTTATC